AAAAAAAAAAAAAAAAAAAAAAAAAAAACCCCATAAAAATGGAAGCTTTTTGTCATATTGTGCATGGCGACGGCGATGGCAAGGCGAATTGGAGGAGAGGAACTGGAACTTTCGGCTTAGAAGTGGAAATCCCTCATGGAAATGACTAAGAACTCATTTCTCTCCGTTTGAAACCTCTGAACTTCCATTGATTTCTCTCAGCCATTTACAGAATCCCATCAAGAACTGAAGAACAAGCAGCCAATCGGAATCAGAATCTCCCCTTTTTCTCTCTCCAAAAATCTCACCCAAATATGATATTGTTTTTCAATGGTGGTGGAGTTTGGAGGTGTCCAAATTCCACCCACTTCAATTGGTCCTCTAGGTAGTGCCCCATTTTTTAAACCTAATTTAGCTTTTAACTTTCTTGATTTAAAAAAGAGTAGCCTTGTAATTGTATTGTATTGTATTATATTCTATTCTATTCTATTGTATTGTTCCTTCAAATCTGTGTGTTCTTCGAGTTCTTCACTGTTCCTCTGCCACCATTATTAGTACCACCACCATCCTTCTCTTTGCTTTAATGGCCTCCTCTTTCCCTCCATTTCCTTCTTTTCTTCTTCTTCTTCTTCTCCTTCTTTTTCTTCCCCCACTTACGTTTTCCATCCCCTGCGCCTCTGATTGTTCGGTTCTTTGATTTTCATCTTGGTTTTTAGATACCCTTTTGCCCATTTCTTCACGGGTTTCGCTCTGCTTGACATTTCTGGTAAGCCCCTTTTACATGCTTAACTCACTGATTCTTTCTATTGGTACGATTTTTCATTTGGGTTTCTTCTTTAATGGTCATCTGTCTGAAGTTTCTGTGATTTTGGGGTGGATTTCCCTCTGTTCTTTCCGGTCGGACGTTGTTTTTTTAGAGTTGCCCATAAGGTGTTTGTTAATTTGCCTCACTGAAAAGTGATTTGGGATCTGTATGGTACCGTTTGTATCTTTGATCTTTGTGAAAGTGGCTCTTGGAATTTAGTATTTGGGGATTGTTTCTTTGAGGGAAATGGTTAGAAACTGATGAATTGATTGAGTATTTGATTTGGGGTCTGAAGTGCATATGCTTGTGTTTTGTTGATCTTGTTTTGCAGTGTTAGATCAATGTATAAGGATAAAGGTTTAGAGGGTTGTGTTTCTGGTTCAAGGAAGAAGAACAATAGGCGGGACTTGACCGTTCCCCGTAATTCCGCACCACGCTTTGCCCTGGGCTGCGGTGTCGGTGAATCCTCTGGTTTAAAATCTCAGGATGCAGATTATTCCATTCCTTTATTTGGTGATGAGTTAGAGCTTTCAATCTTAGCTAGGTTTCCCAAATCCGAGCAATGGAAGTTGTCTTGTGTGAGCAAGAGATATCTGGCTATTGTGAAGAGTGGTGAGCTATATAAGATTAGGAAAGCTATTGGATACAAAGAGCCTTCTGTGTTCATGTTAGCTAGTGGGGAGAGTAGCTGGATGATGTTCGATCAGACTTTCCAGTCGTGTCGTAGGCTTCCGATCCTGCCATCGGATTCGTGCTTTTTGGATGCAGATAAGGAATCACTTTGTGCAGGCACGGATCTCATTGTTACTGGTCGAGAACTTACAGGAGGTGCCATTTGGAGGTATCAGCTAGTAGAGAACAAATGGATCAATGGCCCCTCTATGATCAGTCCAAGGTGTTTATTTGCATCAGCCTCCTCTGGTTCGAATGCATTCGTTGCAGGAGGGATTGCTCTCGAGTTCAGCACGGAAGGCGCTTTCGGCATGGGGATGGAATATGGACAGACTGTGTTGAACACTGTTGAGAAGTATAATCCTGAAAGCTTATTATGGGAGCCTCTCCCGAACATGCTCCGGTCGAGGAAGAAGTGCTCAGGCTGCTTCATGGATAACAAGTTCTATGTCATTGGAGGAAGAGACAACGATGGAAACCATCTCACTTGTGGCGAAGTCTTCGACACGGAGAAGAACTCATGGGATTTAATTGAAAATATGCTGGAAGATGCCCCGATTTCAACTTCTCAATCGCCTCCTCTTGTCGCTGTCGTGAACAACGAGCTCTACTCGCTCGAACCGTCTTCAAACGAGCTGAAGGTGTATTTGAAAGGGAGAAACGAGTGGAAGAACTTGGGTCCAGTCCCAGTCCTTGCTGTTGTTAACAAAGGTTGGGGAGTTGCATTCAAGTCACTGGGCGATGAACTTCTGGTAATTGGTGCATCAGTTGAATCATCTGCAAACGATTCGATGAGCATCTACACTTGCAGCCCGGATCCGAGGGCGGACCGATTGCAATGGAGGCGTCTCGACTGTGGCACGAACCATCTCAGTCCCTTTATTCTGAACTGCTGTGTCATGGTTGCTTGAATTAAGCTCTCATCAAACCATGTTGGTTGTCTTTGGTGTTCTAAGTAAATAAAATGCATCCCTCATTGGGTACCTTCACCTATCATTCATTTTCAACCACTCATCCCTTACGACTAAATAGTCGAATATATCTCTCAATGGTCCTTTCTCTACAACGAACCCCTTTCCAACTAGCCCGTCTGATTGATTTTGTAAGATTGACTAATTCAAAGGGGTGAACGAATCGTTTGCTTTTATCGAAGCTTTATTAGTGGAGTTTTGATTGACCTGTTAACCTAGGTTAACTTTCCCATTAAGTCAATTAACACTAGGCTATACTCAATAAATAAACTAATTTTTTAGCTGACCGTTTAGAATCAAATTGATGTCTCATTGATCAAACATGTTATTTAAGAATCGAATAGAAACTAAATTCAAATCTCTAGAACAAAATTGTTAGGTTTGAAAATTAATAGATCAAAGGATTATTTTTTAATATAAATTTAATAACATTTTCTAATAATTATAAAAAAAAAATTAATAATTTAAATTTTTGTGCTTTTGTCTAATAATAACGAATGAAATTAGGTTTTAAAAAATGTATTACTTTCAAATAGAAAATACATAAAAATAAAAATATATTACCGGGTCGGGTTACTGCCCGAATGGGTTGGAACCCGAGTCGGTGGACAATTTTACCCTTTACATTTCTATTTTTCTTTAATTTAAAAGAAAATATTTAGAAATTCCGTAATTTCAGTGAAAAAAAAAATTATGAAATTTTCGTTGTGAAAGAGAAACAGAGAGACAGTGTGAAGAGAGAAGCCATTGGTAAAGCGCTTTCTCTTTTTCTCTCTCTTTTCCGCCATTGTCAATTTGATTCTGTTCTGAGCTAAGAGAAGAAATCTTCACTTCCAGTCACTTCTCCATCTCTGTAAGCTCTTCAATTCACCGCATTTCCCCTTTTTTCTTGTTTTTCCTCAATTTTAATTTTGATCCTTTCTGTTTTTTCCTTCAATTTCATCCTTCAATCCCTTCAATCCAACCTCCCTTTTCGTTTTCGTAATGCGGATTGTATAATTTGATCGATTGCCTTCGTGATTGTCATCATTTCTCCTCTTGTGGACTGTGTGATTTGGGTTAGGGTTTTTGACGTCTCGATGTGGAGTTAGGGTTTCGGTACGCTTGATACCATTTCTTGGAATTTGGAGATTTGGATTCTGCTGCTGCTGGTCTATTCCTCGGAGAAGCTGGAGTTTTTGTACTGGTAGGTATTTTTCTTCTTCCTGTTTTGTGTATTGGATCAAAATTCTGAGATACGCTTGATTGCTTGGGGGATTTTGAGGTTTATTTGCCTGGATTTGAGGGGGCAATGTTAGAATAGTCATTTGAGATTTTGTTGGTTTGAAACTGTTCTGGTTAGAGTAATTGGTTAGACAGTGATGTCTATGAACAATAATAATCCGCCGAAGAGCCTTGGAGGGACTTCTTCATCGCCTTATGGAAATTCTGGTATAGTTCCACCGTCTATGGCAGCAAACGCCACATTTTCTCAGCCGCAAGCTCAATTAGGAGCTGGGTTTCAAAATCCATTTCAGCTGTCCCCTGCTCAGGTTCTTGCTCAAGCTACATTAAAGGCGCACGCTCATGCCCAAGCTCAAGCACAAGCAGTTCACGCGCAGTTTCAAGCTCAGCTACAAGCTCAAGGGCTGTCTTTATCTCAGAGCCAGAATGTTGGTGGTGGGAACATGGGATCTCCTTCACCAGGATTTTCCACACCCGGTCTCGCTGGTGCAAAGCGGATTCCTCAAAAGCCACCAGTTCGGCCTCCTATTCTTTCTCCTGGTACCCCATTTTCACCATTGAAAACAATGGAACTCACGCCTGCTGCTCGTAAAAAGAAGCAGAAGCTACCTGAGAAGCAGCTTCAGGATAAAGTTGCTGCAATTTTACCTGAATCTGCTCTCTACACTCAGCTGCTCGAGTTTGAGTCCCGTGTCGATGCTGCTCTTGCAAGAAAGAAAGTTGACATCCATGAAGCTCTTAAAAACCCGCCTTGTATCCAAAAAACTCTTCGAATTTATGTCTTCAACACATTTGCAAATCAGGTTAACACAATACCCAAAAAACCAAATGCCGATCCTCCTACCTGGACCCTTAAGATAATAGGTAGGATCTTGGAAGATGGGATAGATCCTGATCATCCTGGGGTGGTACAAAGATCAAACCCTTTGTACCCAAAATTTTCATCTTTCTTCAAGAGATTAACTATTTCCTTGGACCAGAGGTTATATCCAGATAGTCACATCATAGTATGGGAGAATGCTCGATCACCGGCACCTCATGAGGGCTTTGAGGTGAAAAGAAAAGGGGATAAAGAATTTTCGGTTAACATTCGGTTAGAAATGAATTATATTCCAGAGAAATTTAAGCTGTCGCCTGCTTTGATGGAAGTTCTTGGTATTGAAGTTGATACTCGCCCAAGAATAATAGCGGCAATCTGGCATTATGTAAAGGCTAGGAAACTTCAGAATCCCAATGATCCATCTTTCTTTCATTGTGATCCACCTCTCCAAAAGGTATTTGGGGAAGACAAATTGAAATTCACCATGGTTTCGCAGAGAATATCACAACACTTGTTCCCTCCACAGCCCATACATCTGGAGCATAAGATTAAGCTTTCTGGGAATAGTCCAGCGGGTACAGCATGTTACGATGTGTTGGTTGACGTCCCTTTCCCAATTCACAGGGAATTGTCTGCTCTATTAGCCAATGCAGAGAAGAACAAGGAGATCGACACATGTGACGAAGCAATTTGTACAGCTATAAGGAAAATTCACGAGCATCGTCGGAGACGTGCTTTTTTCCTTGGATTCAGTCAGTCTCCTGTGGAGTTTATTGATGCCTTGATTGAATCTCAAAGCAAGGATCTCAAACTTCTTGCAGGAGAAGCTAGTCGAAATGCTGATAAGGAGCGCCGGTCAGATTTCTTCAATCAACCATGGTATGTTTGTTCCTTATTTCACCTGTTTTTGCTTATTAGCATCATATTTATTCATTGGCAGTTCATACGTTAATTCAACGGATTTTCAATTTTCAATTTTCTTTTAACAACATTGTTGTTTCTCACCCGTGGCCGTGTGTGGATTTGACCCAAAAGATATATTCCTAACTTCCCCCCTTCTCTGTAGTTGTTTTGTTTTTGCATCATAGACACAAGTTATGCACTATATTGTTTTTTCTTTTCTCTTTCCAACAAAAGAGATTATTCTTTAAGCTTTTAGCAACCCGCCCTCACACAGAATCTTCAATAGGTTGCGGATTCTAAAATTGGGATTACCTGTTATTCCTTTTATCATCTTGAGCTTGATTTTAAGTTCATGGTTGATTGAACAGGGTTGAAGATGCTGTCATCCGGTACATAAACCGAAAACCCACAGCAGGGAGCGATGTACCTGGAAGTACATGACTGGATTCTTGTTGAGCTGCTATGGATTGCCATTTTTTGTTGGGATTTTCATTGGATTAGCATGCTAAGATACATGTATGACACCCTTTAGTTTAGTAGCAAACACCGGATGGTTGCGATGCCGTGCAAAGGCTTCATTAACGCACATGGTATGTGAATTCCATAAAACTCGCTCTTTTAGTCCAAGCAAGCTTTAATCATCAATTAGCTGGTGATGCCAATGCTTCATTAACAACATATGGTTTCTTCATAGTCATTTTCTTAGAGCACCCTTTATTGTAGTATGGAATATTTCTTGTAGTCGAATCTGCAACCATATAAAGTTGAGATTTTTTCTGGTAAAGCATTGTGTAGATGAAAGTTCATGATGATTTGTCAATTATTCCTTGAACAAGTAGTTTGTAATCTAAATATCATGTTTCTTGATACTTGGAGGAGGTGCAACTAGAGAAATTCGAGATCGGCGATCTGTGTCTTGATTAGATTGACACGATTTAATACTATTATCTTATAGAAATCTATCAATGTTCAGCTGACAAAGATGAATGGCCATGACTATTTTTTATTTGATGGGAAGATTTTCTCCAGACTATTTAATTGCTGAGATCTTTATTGAAAATTGAGTTTGAGAACCCCATATGAATGAGTCAGCCATGTCACCTGCGGTGAGTTCATGCCAGTTGATTATCTTTTTGTTTATTATATCAGTGAGGAATCTTTGGAAAAATATCCAATTGATTTGAACTCTTTATTCAACTCATAGTTACTGTGAATATTAGGAACATGAATACTCAAAATTTGTTACAAACGAAATGAAGAGGTGTGTTGTGAGCTCTTAGGGGAAGATTATCCTAGAGTAACTTTTATCGGTTGAGCGATACCTTTTTCCTGGCACTGCTCTGATTCTGTCGTGTCTTCTTTGGTTTCTGAATTTATGCTATCAACTGTTGTTTTCAACTGTGATCTGTCAGTTCAGTGTTGGAATCGTTGACTTGAGTCTTCTTCTGATTGTTTAAATTGGGAATTTTGTTTGTTTGTCTTGAATTGGCTTTCTCTCTCTCTCTCTCTCCTCTTTCTCTCTCCTTTGACACAAAACTTTGAAGCCGCCGGCCATGTGCGCCGTCAACAGCGGCACAAACACAGGGTGGTCGGCGGCAATGGGTTTGATTCTGAATTGGCTGAGAATTGACGCCACCACATATTTCATCTGAATGAAAGCCATCTCCTTCCCCAAACACACTCTCGGCCCTGCCTGAAATATTGGAAACTTGTATGGACTGACCAACTTCACCCCTCTTCTCCAGCCACGCCCATCGGGTTCGAGAAGCCATCGACTCGGCTTGAACTCGAACCAGTCCTTCCCCCACAAACATTCCATTCTACCCATCCCATATGGGAAATATGTCACTCTATCCCCGGCTTGGACCACAGTCCCGTCTGGTAAGTGATCGTCGGCAATGGCATGCTTTGAATCCCATGGGACTGGCGGATACATTCTCATGGTTTCACATAGGCATGCCTTGAGAAATTTCAGCTCCTTTAGAGATTTGTAGTCCAATTTTTGTTCAACTCTGAATGTTGATTCCGAGTCTATCTCTTCGACTAATTGATTCTGGATGTTCAGATGATGAGAGAGTAGCCAAAACAGCCATGTCATTGCAGCCGAAGTCGTGTCTCGTCCCGCCATGATGAAGCTTATGGCCATGTCTCGGATCATCTCATCGTCATGCCCAATCAAGATTAACCTACAGAAAACAAAACAAAGTCAGAAGAAAACTTTTGAAAGATCAAATAAATATAAATTTTAAAGTTTATGAACGAAATTTGTAATTTAAGCTCATTATATTTTCAAATCGTTTGTGTAGCTCTATAATTTTAATTTTTAAATAAGTTTTAAATTTTATAATTTTATTTATAAACAAAATAAACAAGTTTTCAATATATTTTATAAAAGAAATAAAATATTTTTTAAAAAAATAAAAATAGTACACCCAAAAATGTAAAATATTATCCATATTGAAAAAAATAATTCTCCCAGATTTGGATCTTACATTTTTTTTTTAATAAATATATGCATGAAATGCATACATACATTATATTATAATTGCATGTGTCAAATAATATTTTTAATATATGATTTGATTATCATCTAGTTGGTCACCTGGACAACAGATCTTTTCTCTCATGAAGATCCTCCATCTTCTTCTTCTCCCTTCTTTTCTCAATTATGTTCTTCACTTTCCGGTGAACCTCCGCCACCGCCGTCTTCAGCCGCCACTCAGATCCAACCCCGAACCATCTCTTCACTTTCCATATCATGTAAACCGGTTCCATCGCCCTCCCAGCGCTCACTTTCGACGCTTCGTCAAAGCTCTTTTCGAGTTCAAGAATAGTCTCTTCTTCGCTTCCTAACACAACTTTACCTATTACTCCGAATGCAAATCTTTTGAGTAAATCCTGTAATGATAAAACTAAAAATTTTTATTGTGATTATATAATTTATTTTCAAATAGTTAACAAATGAACCATAAAATGTGATTTCTCCTATTTCGTTCGCTACGCCTTTACCTGCAAGTCTACAACTGCTCCATCTCTAGAAGACGTCTCGAGGGCGGGCAACAACCGCATCTCGACCTCCGACTCCAACGTCTCGACGACAAATTCCTGCAACGACTTGGCGCTGAACTCATGGCTAGCCAGCTTCCGTTGCGTGCGCCATAGCTCGCCGTCCACATTGAAAATGCCACAGCCAAGAAAGTCACCTAAAATCTCAGTGAAAGGCTTCCCTTTAGGGAAATTAACGAAATGGGTCGTCAAAATATACTCAACGTTATCGGGGTTCACCGTCACCACCGTCCTCCGACATCCAAGGCGGCGGACAACGATGGTACCGGTGGCAGATCCCGACAATAGCTCAGTGTACCAATCCAACAGGCGGTTCCGGTTATTGTAGAAGGAGAGGAGACAGCCGATGAGAGGGTACGTCGGCGGCGAGGAGTGACTGAAAAAGTCGCCGGCGGCTGGCCGGAATCTGAAGAGGAGGAAAATGAAAATGGAGATGGAGAAGAGAGAGATAATGATACCCATGAAAGTGTGACAATGGCATTGGAAATTAGGAAATTATATTATAAAGTGCGAAAATGTAGGGTTTTTAAATATCTTATGTCTTAATTTTATAATATGCTTCGAAGACTTTGGTTTAAAATATAATCACTCGTCAATTAATTCATATAATATGGTTTTAGGGGTGACAAATTATATTATATAAATATAATAAAAACTTATAAATAATAAATTTAAGAAATTAGAATTTACTTAAAAATTACTAATTTATAAAAAAATTTTAAGAAATAATTAATTAAAAGATTATATATTAAAAAATATTGAAAACTTTAACGGGCCATGGCCACCTAGTCTTAGGAGTAAATTTGACATCTAACGACATCATTCAATTAGTCAACATATTGCCTACTTTTAGTTAGAAATTGCATTAAAAAAATTTAAATTAATTGACGAATGATACATAAAAGTAATTATATATAATTCATAATTAAAATAGGAGAGAGATGATGCAATTCAAATTTCCGGGCAATATGTTCAATCATTATGTTCAAACCAATAACAACTAGATAGAATACTAGTGTATCGTTATGATTTTGACACGCTCATGACAAGTCTTAAAAAAAACCTAAGCTCATATACATTTTTTGCACATCTTTGTAGGTTCGTCATACCTTAGGTCTGTCTTCACGAACCAAACCCAACTTATAGGAATTTAAGCTTGTTCGGTCGCACACTCTATTCATGCATGCATGTTCAATCTTCTGCATTTTACTTCTACACTAAATCAAATCATCAAACTCGACTTTGTCTCAACATTGGACTAAAGTTTATCATGTGTAACACCATAGCTATAAATAATAAAAAAAAAACGTCCATTTTTAGGTAAGAAATACGTTGATTGATGGGAGTGGATATGGATATGTGATCCTCTGCAGTTTCTGCCTGCTACGACCAGATGATGAGGTTCAAGTTCTAGACAGCTCCTCTTCAACCCAATCCAACTACGCCTACCGTCCGATCAATCCCACATACCCCACGATGTAGGCGCCCACTGTTTTATCCAACGGCTCAGCTCACACCATTCTACTTCTCCTTTTCACCTTCCATCAAATAAGGACATTGCCAATAAATGAGATAAATTATTGGATAAGGTTGTAATCTAATTATTCGTTTCATACGTATCAAACATACTTGACAATCATTTGAAAGCTACACATTTAATAGATATAAAAACGACTAATTTTTGTTAAAAGAATTTTGATGTTTAAATGAAACTAAAAATAAAATTATTAGGACTTATGTCTAAAATAGACAACGTCATACCATTAAAGTTATATCACATTCTTTATAAAGTTAAAAACAATATACTAACAAAATTTTATGCATAATTTCATAATCTTTTTTTAGTATGGTGGTATAAAAAAAACACTCACCTAGCTGTTTGTCTTGGAAACTCCGAGTCAAAGTCTTCCCTTCTGTCCATGTGACATTGCCATTATTGTGGTTCTCTTCTTCTTCCTCGAAGCAATCAAGGCGGCTGCCGGAAATACTGCTCCTCCTCTGATGTCGAACCTGCTGGAGAATTCAGACAAAATATCAGTCGCACTGACCAAAAACAACACAATTCCAGGATGGATTGAGTACATAACAGTCGACAAAATCAAAAACAATTTCGTTGCAAGACAAAAGACATGCCATATTATTGGGTGAAAATGGAAAAATCGGTTAGGAATCCGACCCTCCATAATAGTACGATATTGTCACTTTGAGTACTTATGGCTTTGTTTTAAGCTTCCTCAAAAGATTTTATACCAATGAAGATGTATTCCTTACTTTTCCATGATCCTTCCCTAAATTAGCTAAGTTGGGACTCCCTCCCAACCATCCTCAACAAAATCAATCAGTCCCAACAATCCTCAACAAAATCAACAAGACGTTCACGGCTAAAGCGGTCTTTTTGGGTTACCAGCTGACCTTTGAAGGGACACCAAGTGGTCACAACTGTTCGGTTACAGCTCCATTGTAAATCTCAGCACCAGATACTGATGCGGTGTTTAGCTTTAGCCAGCATTAGGGGCAGGAGTCATTGAGAGGTCCATAGCGTTTATTTGGGCAGCTGGGGAGATGGAGAGCCTGTAAACCTTGAAATTGGAAGCCATGCAAATGACACCACTCCAACCATTTGGCCTGAAATTGACTCACATCAGACAAAGACAATGGGTATAGTGATGCCAGATAGTGGTAGGTAGGATTCTAAGATGCTCAAAATGTGCTGAGAAACAATATGGTAAATCTCAAAAAGCTTTAAATTAAGACATACACTTGGTACTCATGATTTGGTGCAGGCCACTTTGTAGTCAATGGAGGAGGAGATTCGAATTCGGAGAGGATTTTCTTGAAGGCTGAGGGGGGAGTTCTACTGGATTCAGCTCCTACTCCTTTCTTTTCACCAATAATATGGTGGGTTACACTGGGGAAAGTCAGATACACAAATTCAAAACACTGCTGTAGAGATGATATCAGGAGTTTCGTTAGTGAAAGAAGGAGTGATTGAATGGTTGATGAGAAGATTATATTATAAAGAGCAAGAATGCTCTATATACACACAGATAATATAAAAAAATATTTAGAAAATCTACCTAAAAATCTGCAGAAAATCTGATAGCAAACCAGTAAACAAATCAAAAACTAAATCAACTCTTAACTATAAGGAGATTTAATCAGATATTAACTTACAACCATCTAAACAAATACGTGATCTTTTTAACAAGTTTCATCTGGAGTTCAATCAGCACTAAGACTCCAACTCCACCATCTCCAAGCAGATTCTTATAGGAAACCTGTTTGCTCTGAGGACAGTGTCCAGGAATTCTACATTTTGACAAGTTAGGAAACCTGTATTATTGTTCTACCTTCCTTCTTGAAGGAAAATTCAGAATAAAAACCAGCAAACACGGTATTTTGTCTCAAACGGAGTATACTTCATTTATCTGTGGAGATAAAATAGAGCCATAGTAATTGTTACAGTACAGTACATTGGGATGGTTATAACTTCAAATTTAGAATATGTATAATTCGCCACCAAATTGGAAGCAATGAAGATTATATATCACTTCTGCGCCATCAATGTAAATTCTGAAAATGCTGCTTCATGTAACCATATGACCGAATTCTACTGTACATGTGACTCAGATATCTAGGAAGAAACATTTATTTAGGAAGTTCGGAACATAATTGTCAAACGCGGAGAGCTTTTTGTAAATTGTCCATTGTATTGACATTTTGATGACCTGTAAATGAAGAAAAATAATGATTCACAATGCTGGAAGTATATTAGATTATAGAAATGCTCGTAGTACTATACAACTGCTTGGAAGTGATGATTCTATCAAGGAAAATGTAACTTCACCCGCCAATAAAATAGATATGTTAAATCACAAGGTTAATCCATGAACTTTTAAGTTTGTGTCTAAAACGTCATCACACGATGTTTACTTAATTATGTGACTAATAAGTTCTTAAATTTTTGTAAAAAATGTCTAATAAATTCTTGTAAACTTTCAATTTTGTATCAAATTTAACTCATCAATATCATAACAATAGTTTTTTACACTTCAGCGTGATGATGGCAGTATAGTGAAAAATTTCCTCTAATGTTCCTAATAAATGATGCCATCCTAAATTAACATACTCGAAACAGAAGTTCATTCTATCATGTGCTGTTTTTCACATCTTACAGCCTAGGACAAGATATGTACAGGAAGGATCGAGTGCCTAATACAAAATCAGTAACATTAACATGCTTCCAGAATAAAATGTGATATAAGTATAATCTACCATTCAATAAACAAAGCATTTGTACTGTAACAGATGACCTATTAATCATATCTTCTTTTCGTAGTCGGGTGATAATATTGCCGTTTAAGGTTATTAAATATTTTATTATATTTCATCTGTAAAGACCCAAATCCACCGTTAGTAGATATTGTCCTCTTTAGGCTTTCCCTTTCATGCTTCCCCTCAAGGCTTAACGCATCTACTAAGGGAAGGTTCCCACACCCTTATAAAGGGTGTTTTGTTCTCCTCCCCAACCAATATGGGACATCACATCATCACACCAATGAAAAAATGAAAAAATATTGTTCCCTATTAGAAAAAGGGTTATCAAGGTCATGGTAGTGTGATCCTATTGATGTTTTAAGGTTATCGAGATCACAGCCACAGGATAAAAAGATAAAATGAAACTCAGAATCACTTACCATATAAAAGTTACTAAAACTGTCAACATTTCTGATTCTGTATACGAGGCAGCTAAGTTGTTTCAACAAAATTGATCTTTGTTCCACGTTTCAAAAGATTTTTGTATTCTTGGGTTTTTGACCAGTCATCAATCTCACGTGCTCGTAAAACAGGCAAAGGATGTGAGAGTTGTCTTGTTTGAGCATTTCTGCAAACACGATCAGTTAGATAAGCAAATGGACTGAAATAACTTGATATTTAATACACCTCATAAATTATTCACCTTATATACCATCCTATAGGGCTTGAAGAAGCTTTGTCATAAGAGCGAGCCTGCTCCAAAAATGCATCCACATTCAGTTGATCCGCTATAGATGGACAGCCCCCAGCTAATTTCATCAGAACAGAGATGACCACCTCTTGTTGGAGCCAACGAGTAATCAAACAGTTGAGAAAAGAAGTTTAAAAAAAATATATCTACAGATAAGGAGGGAGGGAGGGAGGGAGAGTCGGAAGAAATATAAGGTCTCAAGTTAAATAAATTCTGTACTTGAGAATCCTGCGCAACGAGAAGGGCAGCACGATCACAAGTTAGCTCTGCTGCTCGAAGCCAACGGAATAACTGTTCTTCTAAGTTCTGGGATAAAAATCCACCAAGCCCTATAAAACATAATAAATGAATTTTAGGTACGTTACTTGAATACTGTTATCCTGAGCCTGCAAATTCCCGGAATTTATTTTTTTGTTTAAATATCACATCATAATGTTTGTGGTGACATGAATCAAAATGATGTACTTTCATGCTAAAAAATCTTATGTGCACGCGAACAATGCCCTCAATAACTTTATCTTCTAGAATTAGAATGTTGCATAATTGCAATAATACTTACAGTTACTGCTCCTTCATTATCCAAAAGAATCAATTAACTAATAGCCCCAATAATTATATTATCTAATCAGACCGTGATTTAATTGCTTACCAGGAACAGTGTAAGCTCCCAGGGTAAGAATATTCGCAAATGTAAGCCACACACCATGATCACATTTTAGATGACCCAATTCATGAGCCAAAACAGCCTGAATATTTCAAGTGATAGAAAACTACGTCACTTGAAAAATATGTCATGCGACAGATAGCATCGATAAGAAACAAAGGATGGACAACAAACATGCAAAAATGAAATAATAAATAAAAATGTACTTGAGTTCCACGTTATGGTTTGGCCGTGTATTTGTTCAATGATGTATGTGCTAGGCATGTGTGTGTGTGTGTAGATATAGATATAGATATATGGATTTTTTCTTCTGCATTACAAGAATTGAAGATACAAATTTATTCAGCGACCCAAGAGGCCAAGACTGCATCAGCTATGTGCATAATGCTGGTTAGCATGGGTGCTATTAACGTACAGTATAAAATAACTGCTGACCTGCAATTCTTTTCGTGTAAGAAGCTCCACAAGGCCGGTATGAACAACAACAAACGGCTTTTTACCACTTATGGCTAAAGTATAAGCATTTGGCCCAGGATTTTGACGGACATACAGATCTGGAGCCTCTACATTAAGTACGTGGGAAGCCTCAATCATCAATTTATGAAGTTCTGAAAGCTGAAAAGGAAAGAAAGCGAAGAAACATTTCTAAACATTAGTTGAAAAACCACATGCTCAATCCCATCACGTTCACATAATAAGGAACAACAAATGCTCATCATCTAATGATAATATTAACTGCAAGGAATTTCTGAGAGAAGCAACCTTTTTGCATATTCGATTAGAAATACTAGATACCCAAATGCATAAATTTAAATCCACTCGCATCATTTTACTAAAGTGAGAAAGAAGAGTTGGAAGAGATAAGAGACCGTCTTTAAGATCATTAAGAGTAAATATGCATAAATTTAATGTGCAATTTGATTAGCAGATATTACATTATTAGTAAGATTTGACCAGACTTTCATCATGGTGCATTTATGCTTCAAAAAATTATAATAAAGTAAATAAATAACTCGCTAACACAATAAGGGGAAAACAATCCATTTCTAATGAATAAAATTTTAACCAAGACAAAAAAAAAACGGGAATTGTCAAGATAAGGGATTTTTACGGTTGAGAAACCTGATTTTCAGAAACAAGAATTGATGTCCCTATGTTCTCAAGAAGCATGACTTGCTCAGTCACGGTTCCTGCAATGACAAAAGAACAGTACCAATGACAGCAACAATATTAGTACTATGTAGCCAAAGAGCGACAAAACCAGATATGGAAGTAACTATTTGAAATGTACAATCTACAAAAAAGATAAATAAGTTTTTCTCGCATGACCGCTACAGGTTGGCCTAGCAGCTAATAAGCCAATGTAAATAGTGAAGGGCTTAGAAAATAGATTCATGTCATCCTAGTCAACAGCTACCTATAACTTATTAACCTATATTTTCTTCATAACAAAATGCAGTAAGGTCATTCTATTGTCTCCTGAGAATCATCAAGGTGCTAGCAAGCTAGCTCAAACACTCATGGATATGAAAAGAATATAACTTAGGCTCGCATGACCTTATAATAAAACATGTTAGTGTTGAAATGTTGATCTACTGTCTTTATGATTTAACCATCTTGATAAAAACATCATCAACCTATTTGCAGATCAGATTCCTTAAAGCGCTTTTGTAAGTTCATTAGACATTCACAAGATTAATCCAACTTGTAACAACGCAGTCATGCCCCAACGATAAAATATGGATACACGAGCTGGAAATTCAGAAAAATGTAGAAATTGTTTTCTAATTGGCATGTACAAATCAATTGGATGCCCAAGAATCATTCTGAAAGTTCATCAGTTCTCAGTCTTGCCTCAGCTCGCTCAACCCTGGAATTGCCCGCAAAATCATTGTATTCTGCATGAAAGAAAATTCTTGACTTAAGCAATGAGGTAGCTGACTCAGAATGATATT